CTCGCCTGGGAAATCCCATGGAGAGAGGAGCCTGGGGTCACAAAGAGAGACTAAGCAACATCTAACCATATAAATACGTTATGTGAGGGGCGCTGACTCTTAGGCCAGTTTGTGATCACTCTTCTCCCCTCCATCATCAGTTTCTAAGTCCCAAGTGTCCAGCTAATCAATTCCTAACCTATTCCTAACTCAGCGTCTTTCCTCAGTCCAGAAAAACAAAGTGGCATAAAGAGTGGGCAATGAGAACAGCTGCGGGAAGTTAAGCTGGATGGCCTCCCATTGGGCCAGCGCCATGGTGGGCAGATAAAAGGAAGCAATCAAATGCTCAGAGGCAGCTTAACCATCCTCAGAGGAGGACTGGCTTCCTGATGCTCTAGGATGAGAAAGAGGTGCTCCAGGTAGAGCACAGGATGCTCTGCTGCGTGGGACTTCAGCTGTGGGAACAACTGACCTGCTCTACGAGCCACAGAATTCCCCACTGGGTCCCAGAAGACTAGTCCCATTTTGCTTCCTTCAAGCCAGCAATGTCTCACTGGCACCAAGAAAACAAACCAACAAACCAGCAAGCACATGGCCAGAAGGGTGGGCACAGACGGGGACAGCTGAAGAGTGGGTTTGACTTATGGAACAGACACAGGCCCTCTCATCTCACAAACTCCTGGAACAGCTTGCACAGGTTCACCCGTGACCCTGATAGAGTAACAGCACTCTCTTTTCCTTACTTTGCTCAAAATCTGTTTTTCACCTTATTCTACTATAAGCACGCTGAAAGCAGACATCTTATTCATCTTCCACCCACTCTCACCACCATAACTTGTACACAGAAAAGTTCGCAAATGTCTTTATAAGTTATTTTGCAGAGACACTGCTTGCTTATAAAAGATGAGCTTTTTTTGAAAGCCACTGTTGGCAGTGGTTACATCATTGGTAAGTCTCAAGACTGTTCTGGCTGAGGATATTGTGACTATTACTCAGTGTGAACCTTCACAGCTGTCCTCACTTCATTCCTCTTTCATTAAGTCAGAAGAATAAAGAAGAACCTGAAACTGGGGTTTCAGGGAGCTGTTTTAAAGACAGCTGAAACTTTGCATCTTCCCATGTGGAACTGGAGCTGATGAAGGTAAGGGTAGTTCTTGCAACTCCATCCACACCAGCCTTACCCATTATCCTCAGGGATACATTCCCAGATCACTGTCCTTGGTACAACAGCTTGTGTTAGCTTCAAAGTCTTTTAGTTTTTATTATATACTAGTTATTTTTAACAATTTAACAATTTGGTGGTGTAATAAAAGGATAAAAAGTGCTGGTGAGGATATGGGAATATATCTATATTTTTACAATAGTTATTTCAGAGATAATTTTTGTTTATAAATCTCTGTGCTCTAAATTAGGTTTTCCTATGAAAGCACTGGTGTTTAAATCAGATGTCCCAGTAGGAGCTAAATAAGTCTCTTGATTTAAAAATAGTGAGCAATAACATCTTTCCCCTAAATAGTATTCACCTTCCACTTGCCCAGCTTGGATCTAATTCCAAAAAGCCCTGAAAGCACTGGAACTTAGTATTCATTGCCTATCACAGTCTTCGCTTCCCTGGAGGCTCAGGGGTAAAGAATCCTCCTGCCAGTGCAGGAGACTCAAGTTCGATCCCAGGAAGATCACCTGGAGGGGGGCATGGCAACCTTCTCCAGTCTTCTCTCCTGGAGAATTCCATGGACAGAGGAGTCTGGCAGGCTACAGCCAATGGGGTCACAGTCGAACACAACTTAGTGACTGAACAACAACCATAAGCCTTCACATACTGGTCAATTCACACCTTGCCAATCTAAACTGCAAGAGCCAAAATAATACCATCCATTCAGTCAAAGTGGAGAGACAGAGAACAGCTGAGTTATCAAGTTCACCACAACCGGGGAAAACTGTCTACCATCGACCCACCTGCACAGCTGAAGGACATAGTGATTAAAGTCCCCTACCTCTGCTGTTATACCACGTGACTTCAAGAAAGTTTTTTAAGTAAGAAACTTAATAGAAATTATGAAGAAATGTATTTATTGTACCGTTAAAAAGTAAAAGACCAACTAGAAGCAACCTGAGTGTACCAAAGAGAGTATTTCATAAATTCATGTATAAAAACCTATGTAATATATTAAAATCATAAAATGAAAAAGTATAATACCTATAAAAAATCCAGAAGTATTTGCCATAAATCTCTTTATAAAGAAGAAATAAATTGTATATAATATATAGCTATATGCAGTATAACTATATATAATTACATTAGAAAAAATACACATAAATGAAAAAAATAAAGCTTATAAGTGAAATTATGTCATTTATTCAACAATTTAACCAAGAATTTACCAAGAGTCAGACCCTGGATCAGGTGCTAAAGTGAAATGACTGAAAGAAAAAAAAAAAGAAAAAGATCTGGCCTCTGGCCTCTTGCACTTTACAGTCTCATTCAGTTCAGTCGCTCAGTCGTGTCCGAATCTTTGCAACCCCAAGGACTGTAGCACGCCAGGCCTCCCTGTCCATCACCAACTCTCAGAGCTTACTCAAACTCATGTCCACCAAGTAGGTGATGCCATCCAACCATCTCATCCTCTGTCGTGCCCTTCTCCTTCCATCTTCAGTCTTTCCCAGCATCAGGGTCTTTTCCAGTGAGTCAGTTCTTCATATCAGGTGGCCAAAGTATTGAAGTTTCAGCTTCAGCATCAGTCCTTCCAATGAATATTCAGGACCAATAGCCTTTAGGATGGACTGGTTGGATCTCTGGACTGGTTGAGAGTCCAAGGGACTCTCAAGTCTTTTCCAACACCACAGTTCAAATGTGTCAATTCTTCGGTGCTCAGCTTTCTTTATGGTCCAACCCTCACATCCATACCTGACTACTGGAAAAACCATAGCTTTGACTAGATAGACCTTTGTTGACAAAATAATGTCTCTGCTTTTTACAGTCTCGTTACTAAATGGAATTAACTGCCATTATATGAGTATGTGGGTGTTCTTTCTTTTTTCTAAATAATAATGCTACTATATTAACATTTTAGTAATACAATCTAGGCTTTTGTCTGGTGAGGCGTGTGTTACAAAACCTATGTTGGGGGCTAGACACTTATGATATAGACGTCATGAAGCGACACACAGGACGACGCCATCGTTCCGGCTATGGGTGTCACGTGACCCCTGACATGCCCTGCCCCAGTCGGCCTGTAAATAGGAGGAAGTCACGTGGCCAGGGATCCACGTGGCAGCCCTCTCCTCCTCCTGAGAGGCACCCTACCTACACCTCCGCCAAGTCAGGCTCAGCCACCCTCCTCCACAAACCTGAGGGGGAAGGGAGCCCCTGGCGACCCTAACACCAGCCACCTCCATTTGGTACACCCCGAGAACCAAATGTTCCCAAAGGGGAGGGCAAATCATGGACTGCCTGGCAGGGGCCTCTGCGAGAGTCTGGCCTGCCCATGTGGGGTCCATACAAGGTGAATCACATAGCAGGAGCAGCGTGTCTGTGGACCGGGTAGCTGACTTCTCTAGGAGGGACCTTTGTGAAAGTCACAAGCTAAAGCCGCCCAAGGAATCAGAAACTCTTTTCTGGCTTTTCTTCTCCTTGAGAGCCCTTTCCTTTCACAGCGGGGTTTGGACTTGATACTTTAGGTTTTCGAAAACAATAAAAATATTGAGAAATACGTATACACCTGACAAAACTATAAAACAAATTTCAGAGGAAGGAGAGAAATAAGATTGTGGAGAAGAGTGTCAGGGATTTCAAAGTCCTGCTACTCAAAGAAAAGTCCGTGGACCAGCCTTCAAGTGTGTAAGAAACGCAGAAACCACAGTCCACCTGAGACCTTCGGAATCACAGTTGGCATTTAATGAGATCGCCAGGTGTATCACATACACATTACAGTTCAGGAGTCTATTATAAATCCTTATAATATTCTATTTTTATCTGGAATGTGAGCACTCTTGATGTATTATTCTCTAAAATGTATACACATATTTTATACAGTCTCCTGACTGCCTGGAGAAGCTCATGGACAGAGGACCCTGGTGGGCTGCAGTCCATGTGGTCACAAAGAGTTGGACATGACTGAGCAACTTGGCACAGCTGACTGCCTGACTAACCCAGCATACAGACTGACCCCATGTCTGCAAAGTGACAAGTAGGGATTGTTAAAATGTGGGGGAAAGAATGCTACATAAATCAGACCTTCAACCAGTAAAAACTCAGCTACAGATAAAACTTGACATCACAAAATCCAACCTTGTCACTAATGGGAAATGAAACCACCCGATTCAGGAAGGGGCATGCTTTCAGCAGGGTTCGATTGCTAAATATGAGGGAAAATCAGATTAAGGCTCAAGTCTCCTAATCTCAGTAATGTTCTCTGTCCTACACTAATAGTGGCTAATACATCATGACTGATACTTTTTTCTTTATAAAGAAATACTGAAGTTAAAAGAAAAATCAGTAGTAAGTTTAAAAAATGTGAGATAATTCTTAAACTAATACCTTGTATATTTAATAGTAGATAACCAATAGGTATTTGTTTGAATGAATGATTCACTTTTGTTTTCCGTTTTCTTTTTTTTTGCCACAACCCACTGCCGTGGGATCTTAGCTCCTAGACCAGATATTGAACCCAGGCCCATGGCAATGAGAATGAGGAGTCTTAACCACTGGACCGCCCAGGAATTCCCTGAATGATTCACTTTTAGGCAAAGAAAAAAGGGTGTTATCCACATCTTCTCAAAGGGCTTAGCTGAATTATAGAATGATTAATTTCCTTATGGAAAAAACCACAGACCTAAATTTTAAAACAATTTATAACATTCTTCCACAGCAACCAAAAATCACCCTTACACTTCTATCAAAGTCAGAATATTTGACATACTTAGTATTTGGTGTGTGTTATCTGTTTGATTTAATTAAGTTATTATCTGAAGTAAGACTTTTAAAATTATTACTTAGGATATTGAAAAACAGCAGTACTTACCGATACTAATTTCATCATCTGTTTCAGCATCACCGATACATTCAAACTGGAAATCCTGCAGCGACTGGGAAAATTTCTGTACTGCCATAGACAGATCTGTAATTAAAAGTTTAAAAAATTTAGTTTTAAAAAAATCCTAAGGTGAACATACCATGAAATACTCAAGATTTCCACATGTATGTATATAACTTTGCTGCTAATGCTATATTAACCAGATCCGTTTTCAATACCAGCTTGAAAAACTTAAAATTTAAAGAGACTACAAAAGAAATGTTTTAGGGATTAGATCTGTTCTGCTTCCAAAGAAGATCTGCCCCTTTAAGAAAGTTTTGGTGCTAGTTGTGCATTATCTGGAACTCAATTTCCCAGTCTTTATCAAAGAATTACCATTCACTACAAATGGACCATTTATGTAAAAAAAAAAAGAAGGAAAGAACTCTACTGGGGTTACTAGTTGCAGGGGAGGGGGGGAAGCATCAAATCTTTGATTAGAAAGTGTCACTGATGTTATTCTACACAGACTGTGGAGGAGATAGGGAATGTGCTTTTATCAATAAACACATTCTCCTTATAAGTTGAAAGTACACCTGAAGAGTTGTTTATGAATAACCTTGTGATTTATTTATTTATTTATTTTTTTAACCTTGTGATTTATAGGAGACCTCATGTTAAACATACTCCTCAGTCCTGACTTCAGTCTGAACAAAGTCCCGAGAATAACTAAATCCAGAAGAAGAATTCTTTATTCATGGAGAGAGTAAAGAAAAGCCCAGAATAATGAGAAGTGAATCCCTGGGAGGCAAAAGCCTAGGATGCAACCTAACAGAGACTAAGAATGCAGACGCTGGAGTCAGGCAGCCTGGGTTGAAATCCAAGTCCTGACATTTACTCATTAAAGGCAAGTTTTTTAAACTCCTCTGGGCCTCTGTTTCCTCATCTATAAAGAGTGAACAACAGTGGCATAACCACTTTATAGGGTTCTTTTGAGGATTAATTAACATAACACTTGTGAAGCATGTAGAACAGTCTGACAATAAGCACTATTTATGTTTATTAAATAAAATTTAAAACAGTCTGATAGTGCAGCATCAGGGCAGCTTTAAAGGTCCCTCCTCTCAGGGCTACTGTGATCATCCATGCTAATCCTTCACAGAAGTCTGTGCCAATAGGAAAACTAATTTTTCTAGAAGTCACTCTGGTGGTAGTGGTTTGGTTGCTAAGTCATGTCTGACTCTTTGTGACCCTGTGGACTGTAGCCCGCCAGGCTCCTCTGTCCATGGAATTTCCCAGGCAAGAATACTGGAGTGAATTGCCATTTCTTTCTCCAGGGGATCTTCCCGACCCAGGGATGGAACCCATGTCTCCTGCATTGCAGGCAGACTCTTTACAGCTGAGCACCAGGGAAGCCCACTGAGCACAGCTATTATACATCAAATGATATGAGATACAGAAAGGTGAATAGATGGGAACACATCACATATGTGTGACTTTTGCCTACTAGAAACTTAAGAGGAACATATATCCATATCAGTCACAAAGTCGATTTCCTATACAAAGGCATCTCATACGTGTTGAGGTAATTTTGTGAAGTTTTATTCTGATTTCAAGAGAAGACTTCACAGTGGAAACGGCCGTCACTCTACACTTCGTTTAATGCTATCTCCCAGGGGTTCATATCTGCCTCCTTGAATGCTTAACACTGAACTCAAGCAGTCACACCTGACGAAAACCCTCTCCTTGACCGTCTTCAGTCATCTTCATCTTCAGTCAGGCTCCCCGGAGCCTCCTTCTTGTCCAGGCCTCTCCCGGGCCCCCTTGTCCTCACTGTGCCTACCTATCCTAGTTTTAGCACAAATTCTGCCAAGTCAGTGCAGACAGATTCCCAACTGGATATCTGACCAAGTTTCTCACCCCCCACCTCTGATGCTGACGTCCTCGACCTGCCTCCACCAAGAACCCTCCAAGCCTTTGTCTTCTCTTGGTGATTTTCCATCCACTGACAGGGCCCACCACCCAGTGGGTCCTTGGCTGCATAAATCCTCATTTGTTCTTGTTGCATTCAGAGTTGAACCTGAACCCTCTCCCCTACTCTAACACTCTTGACATCTATAGCCAAGTCCTGAGTAAAGTCCTCCTTACCACTGTAACTAGTGTTGGAATCTTTTTTTTTTTTTTTCTTTAAGAGAAGAATTGTGACCTGGTGTCTAGGCCTGACACCAGGACTTACCGTGAAAACCTATACTCAGAAACCTCAAGCCCACTTACTGATCACAGAAAGGACCCACAGGAAACTAGGTCTCCAAACATGAAGGTCACTTAATACCCCCATGTGAACCCAGAAATTACCAGTACCCTCACCAATGACAGTTTTGAAGACCATAGGGCTTGAGCCTCAGAGAGGTTTTTAACACACACACAATACACGCATGCACAAGAAAGACTGAGATTTTTTTTTTTTAAATCTTGCTTGAAGAAATAAATCATGCTCTGGAAAGAGGGTATTATACTCACAGACTAACACCTCTCCCCAAAAGAGGGAGAGGATTTTGGAGCACATTTTTGCACATGCTAGCTAAGAAGTATTCTGAATTTAATGGAATGGAAAGGTCTGTCTACCAGCTTAAGAATGGTCCTGCTTTGGCTTCTCAGGAAGAAAACTGGAAAGAGCCTCCCTTGTGGATTGTTAGTCAATGAGGAAAACAAAGGCTTCATCAGAACCAGACCTCCCCGACTGCCTGTGAGACCTTGGGCAATCACTCACCCTTCCCAAGGCCTGTTTTTCTTACCTGTGCAACAGAGGTGCAATATGCATCTCAGGGGTTGTTATAAACATGAAGTGAGGTCTGGGCTTGCTACATACTAGGCAACTTAATAAATGGCATCAATTGTTATCATTCAAGCTCAGCTCAAAAGGTGAGAGAGTTGAGTGGTTTTTCGGACAGAAAGGGGCTTCCCTAGTGGCTCAGCAGTTAAGATCCACCTTACAATGCAGGAGATACAAGAGACTTAGGTTCAATCCCTGGGTCGGGATGATCCCCTGGAGAGGGCATGGATGGACAAAGGAGGCCACAGGATTGCAAAGAGTGGGACACGCCTGAAGCAACTGAGCATGCACACACGTGGCAGAAGGGACCCGTGTATGCAAAGGTATGCAGTTACATGACATTACATAGCTCTGGCTAAGGGTAAAGAAATCAGAACACCTATATCAAATGTTCTCAGAAGACACACACACACAACAAATCAGACTCCTAGGACAATTTTTCAGCCAAGCTGTGTGCAGGCACTCTCCCTAAGACTTTGGGAAAGTGTTCCATGTAGTACGTATTTATTTTTCTACCCCTAATGTATAATAGCCCTTATGCTAAACTGGACTTGACCATCAGCAGATGAATGGATGAGGAAGCTGTGGTACATATACACCATGGAATACTACTCAGCCATTAAAAAGAATTCATTTGAATCAGTTCTAATGAGATGGATGAAACTGGAGCCCATTATACAGAGTGAAGTAAGCCAGAAAGATAAAGACCATTACAGTATACTAACACATATATATGGACTTTAGAAAGATGGTAACGATAACCCTATATGCAAAACAGAAAAAGAGACTCAGATGTATGGAACAGACTTGTGGACTCTGGGAGAAGGAGAGGGTGGGATGTTTCAGGAGAACAGCATTGAAACATGTATATTATCTAGGGTGAAACGGATAACCAGCTCAGGTTGGGGACATGAGACAAGTGCTCGGGCCTGGTGCACTGGGAAGACCCAGAGGGATCGGGTGGAGAGGGAGGTGGGAGGGGGGACTGGGATGGGGAATACATGTAAATCCATGGCTAATTCATATCAATGTATAACAAAAACTACTGTAATGTAAAGTAATTAGCCTCCAACTAATAAAAATTAAAAAAAAAAAAAAAAATAAACTGGACTTGAAGTCACAGATGGAATTCCTATAGCAGAGAAGGGGTAGTGGGTAATACGGGTGCATCAGGAAGCTTAGGAATCTTGGAACAAATAGCCTTCCTTCCCTCCCCTCATCACAAGTTCCTGTGTGTTTCCCCACAAACTCAAGGAGCTACCTGGAAGCTCTGTCCTAGGAAACTCCTGACACAAGTCCTCACAACAGAACACATCTTCCAAGACCATTCTTTGCTTCCTGTGGCCTTGCTTCTCGACTGAGAAAGGCAAGCTGCTTCATCTTTTCACTGAGATTTCAGTGAGGACGCTGTACAGACCCCCGCCCGGAAGAACACAGGAGCCCAGCATCAATCCAGAGTACGGGCTTCAGCGGCAGATGATGTGGGCTGGCTTCCCACCTCTGCCAGGCAGTATGGCATGGCTGTGGGCCACCTTTATAGCCACTCTGGACCTCATCTGTTAAGTGGAACAGAGCATACCTCCCAGGGTCACTGTGAGGACTAAATGAGTTAATACAGACGAAGCACTCAGAACAGTGTCTGACACATAGCGAAAGCATTTAAAAAGTGTTGGCCATTTCCATGCTGAGCGTTTCAGAAAAAAAAGGAAAAGTTTAATTTTCAGAAATGGAGCTGGCAGCTAGTAGGCCTCAGATAACCTTGGCAAGTGCTCAATAAAGCAGTCTGTTGATTGCCGTTTCAAATTCTCTCTTGATGTACTGCAATCAAGCCGTAACACAGACTACCTGATTATTCAGTATTTCTGCATGAGGGGTGGGCATCTATTTCAATGCTGGATAGAATCAAGAATGCGTGAATGATCCTTTTTGAAGTGTAATGAGACAGGACTGTACAGGAAAAGATGGTTCTCAACTAGTTCAGATTAATTCCAAAAATATAGCCGAAGTTCAAAAAATGACTTATTTTCAACTTCAAGTGCCTGGGATCTTCATTTTCCTTTTATTTGTTCTCACTTTCCAAAAACCAAAGTAATAACGAGGTAAAAAATATGATGACATTATCTTATGATATTTTCTGGCAATCATATGGATCAATCTGAAAAATGAGGAATCCAGGTCATAATTTTAATCTTGACTCCTTCCCCCACTGAGTGAAATTCTGAACTAGAAAGAACAACACCTTTCACTGACATCACTCCATGGAACACATTCT